TCTTTCTTTCTTTCTTTCTTTCTTTCTTTCTTTCTTTCTTTCTTTCTCTTTCTTTCTTTCAAGATTTATTTATCTTTATTTTATATATATGGGTAATTTGCCTACAGAGATGTCTGTACAGATTCATGTGCCTGCAGAAATCAGATGAGGGCACTGGATCCTCTGGAACTGGGATTACGGACAGTTGTGAGCCACCGTATGGATGCTAGGAATCCGTTAACCCCTGAGCTGTCTCCCCAGCACTTTGCATGTTAGTTTTTTAATGCTATGTGAGCACTCAGCATCCTGTTTGGTCAGTCACACCATGCTGTGTCTGCCACAGCAGTTTTTCCTTCCTACTGCGGAACAGCTATTCAGCTGGTGAGGCAGTACAGTTTGCCATGTGACCACTGACAGATGTTTGAAGGGATTTTTTTTTTTAATTTTTTTTTTTTAGTTATACACAAAGCATGGTTTATTTAAAAAAAAAAAAAAAAACAAAACCCAAAGTACAGCCTCCCACTCCTCATTTCAGTGCTTGGTTACTGTGTGTGGCCTTTCTATGAACACCCCTGAGTGTGTCTTTCAGAGTACATGTGCTTGCAGGTCACAGGCTATGCTCATCTCTGTGATACATCATGCTGGTTTCACTGTTTATGGTTCCCTCAGTTGATCTAGTTGCCGGTTAACATGTGGTATTTTCAGCTTTCCCACCCTGCCCTTCTGGCTCGTATGTAGTGGTGCCTTGTTATGGTTGAAATGTGAGTTTCCATGCTGATTCACGAGACGGCGGGGCCCTGAATGTGTTTATGGACCTTTCAGATCTCCTCCATCATGAACCCCGCCCAGCTCCCATGCTCTCCTGGGTAGGGACATCTTTAGACCCACCAGACCTGACGTACACAAGAGCACACATTGCAAACCATGCCTGACTTCATAACCCTTCTCGGTGCTGTCGGCTGAAAAGAAATGACTACTTTCTTGCATTTTATTTCCTTTTCTTTCTTTCTTTCTTTCTTTCTTTCTTTCTTTCTTTCTTTCTTTCTTTCTTCCTTTCTCTTTCTTCCTTTCTTCCTTCCTTCCTTCTTTCTCCTCTATCTCTAACTTCTTCTTCTTCTTCTTTTTTTTTTTTTTAACATATAAGCGTTCTCTGTATATGCACCCACATTACAGAAGAGGGCATCAGATCCTATTACAGATGGCTGTGAGCCACCATGTGGTTTCTTTGAATTGAACTCGGGACCTCTGGAAGAGCAGTCAGTGCTCTTAACCGCTGAGCCATCTCTCCAGTCCTTCCTTTTCTTTTTGACCATGCAGCTCTTGCTATGTAACTACTTGCTATGTAATTCATGTGGTCAAACACTTACAATCCTCCTGCATCTGTCCTTTGAGTGCTGGGAGATTAGGAGAGTGCTACCACAAATGGCCTGCACACCTTTGTGTTTTCCTGATGTTGGCAGTTTTGGTGTCTGGCTTATCTCGAGATGATGAAGGCAATCTCCTACACCAACATGTTAGAATTTTGCTTTCTACCTCCAGAATTTAAATGCAGAACTGAGATTTTCTGTATGGTGTGAGGTGAAGATCAAAATGTGAATGTTGTTGTATGAATGTGAACCACCTGGTTCACTACACTACTGCAAAGGCTGACCTGTCCCCAGTCCTCTCCTCTGCACTGTGACACTGCAGTTCTAGGGTAGCAGGGTCAGCTAAGATGCTACTTATATGATCATATGGTATATGGCTTAAACACAGCATTACTGGATAGATGTGAGATTACCTTAAATTGGTCCATGGAGTTTAGCAGACTTTGATACTAAACACTAAAAAACTTCATGGAACCAGCAAAGACTGTACTGCTCTGCTAAACTAGCTGTTCGCTGAGAAAACTAAGAAAGAGCAGGGGCAAGCACAGTGCCATCTCCAGTCAGAACCTCTGAGAAGGTAACCCAGAAGATGTTAGTCACAACCTGATGGCCAAGGAGGCAAAGGAGACGGGAGGGTGAGAGGAAACGAGTGGTGGCCTATCTGAGCACATAATGCTTCTCATTCAGAAATGTGACCCTGCTAAGGAACTACTCAACAGCATCACTTTCTGAGGAGCCAGAAACCCATCTGGGAAAGTCTCAGAGGGGTCAAGGTAGGAAGAGCTGTGGGATCCACACAATAAAGTCAGACAAAGCTACTGTCATAAGGACGGAGGGACCTTTGCATAGTTTTAGGGGAAAGGTCCATCTTTTACATGATTTCAGAAGAGCAGTGCCCTTCAAGCAAAGGTGTAAAAGCTGTAATTACCCTGCTTTCTTAGACAGCGTGTATGTAGGTACAGGGGGACGAGCAGCAAGTTGCAAACCTCACTGCAAGCAGAGAGAGAACCTAGACTTCTGACCTTCATTTATTCGGGAGTCTTTTCTCTGAGTTTGAACCTCGGGTAAAGGTCAGGCCCACTCACTGCTGCCCCTGACAGAAGTGTGGATGACCAATCCCAGACCACGTTTGGCATGGCTGAGTCTTCCTCTCTGCCCTAAGCTATGACAACTCCTTGTAAAATGTCAAGTGATCTTTTTAGAAGGAGAATGTATAAAAAGGAAGGCACCCCCACAGACACAAACCACTACTTCAGGTTCAATGGGATTTTGTAGAACACTGAATGGTGACATATCCAGAAAAAGACATATCCAGCCCTGCTAAGACTCACCTTAGCCCAAACAAACCAGAGCCTGGAGTAAAGAGCATGGGTCACCTTAGCCAGCCTCCCTGGCTCAGCAGTCTCCATGCCAGCTCTTTCTCCCTACCTCACCCTCAGTCTGTGTTATATAACCTTCAGACGGGAGCTGAGAAAGTCTTCCACTCTGCCTGTCTGCTGATAGAGCCGAGCCAGTGGCTGGCAGGCCACAGTCTAACAGGCGCAACTGGAAACAAGCTCACAGCTCCTGTCTGAGACAGAGACTGGACAGACAAGGAAACAAACACTTGCCCTGTCCCCCTCCTCCTCTCCTCTGGCCTAGGTTTACGCTGACTTCACTCAACAGGCACCTGACCCTCCCAGATGAGGTGGGAGGGGCTTCAGCACACAGGGCCCTCGTAGGGGTGGAAGTACAGGCACCAACAATATTTAAGATGCTGCCTTGGTGGGGTATTCAGACTTGGGAAGAAATGTGTTCAAATACCCACTGAGTTCCATTTCAGAAACCCTAGCCTTAAGAAAGGATAGGAAAGCGCACAGAGGAAGGAGAGCACCAGGAAAGAAGAAAACTGCCAGTGTGAGTCAGGAAATAAGCATCCTACTTTTCTGCTAGGCTGACTCTAGGAGGACCAGGCCTGCACACAATGCTGAGGGCGAGCTGGCTATGCATTGTCCTCGTAGCCTTTGTCAGCCACCCAGTGTGGCTGCAGAAGCCTCACAAACGCAAGACACAGCTCAAAGCAGCCGGCTGCTGTGAGGAGGTGAGGGAGCTCAAAGCCCAGGTCGCCAACCTCAGCAGTCTGCTGGGTGAGCTGAGCAGGAAGCAGGAGAGCGACTGGGTCAGTGTGGTCATGCAGGTGATGGAGCTGGAGAGCAGCAGCAAGCACATGGAGTCTCGGCTCGCCACTGCTGAGAGCAAGTACTCCGAGATGAACAACCAGATTGACATCATGCAGTTACAGGCAGCACAGACCGTCACGCAGACCTCGGCAGGTAAGTGCTGTCCCCACACTCCTCGCCACGCTCCTGCTCAAGGTCTCCTGGCCCCAGCTCTGCTTCTGGATAGCCTGTTCAACACAACTTTGGGGGGCTTTTGAGAATGCACTGTCTATAACTGCATGATCTTTGGGTTGGTGATGTCCTGCAAGGTTAGCCAGGACATCACAGCCTGCAGCCATTTGAAGAAAACCTTTGTGTTCAACAAAGGACAGACTCCTCATGTTCTACAATTCTGATCTACTTTCTCCCATGGTTGCTAATAAAATTCTCCCAAATAACAGAGAGAACAAGTAAACGTAGTGCTGAAGTGCTGACCTTCAGTGTCTGAAAATAAGGAAGGCACACACACACAATGAGTTCTTCGGGAAAACATTCAGTTGTTGGTTAACTTGGCACAAATGAGCTAATCAATGAATTGCTGCTCAGAGACAGATCTAATTTTCCGAGGTTATGGGAAAACAATTGGGATGAGTGTATTCTATAGGTGAAGCATTTCTTACTAATGCTTACTGCACAATAAACCAAGTCAGGAAGAAATGATTAGCTTCTAGTGAGTAAGACCCTGGCTACCGTTGGTTCAGACAAGGAAAAAGTTTTACCCAAAGTTAAGCCTGAAAAGTCTGTTAGCTAATTAAACAAATACAAATGATTTTTAAAGCATGGGCCTCTTGACCTTCTGTTTGAGACCTGTTCTGTTTGAGAACAGAAAGTTAGGGGTTCTTATTCACCAGAAAAGTGAGTCTTCATTTGCTCTGTGAGATGAAACTGGTCATGTAGACCAGGCCAGATGCAGGGGACTCTACCACTTCCTGCTCCTAGAAGCTGCCTGAGAGGAAGGGCAGGTGCACCACTCTCCCCTCCCCAGTAGGCTCTGCGGAGGGAGGAAGCAAGCTCTGCAGAGATAGGAAGCAGGCTCTGTGGAGGAAGCAGGCTCTGTGGAGGGAGGAAGTAGGCTCTGTGGAGGAAGCAGGCTCTGTGGAGGAAGCAGGCTCTGTGGAGGAAGCAGGCTCTGTGGAGGAAGCAGGCTCTATCCCACTTTCACCTGTGCTTTCCCCCACGTCTCCAGCCCACGGGACACCAAGGAAAAAGTCGCAAGACAGAGTGCAGAAGTGTCCTGTGCACAACTGCCAGACTCTACTAGAAACAACTGCGTCTTTGAAGCCCCAGTACAGAGCACAGCCTTGAGGCAGGCACGGAAACTTTCAAATCAAGCCCAAGGGGAAGTGGGAAAAGCTCATTTCCTTGATTTATCAAAACTTTCAGGGAACAGTCTCAAGGGGCTGCTTGGGGTTTTGGTTTCCATTTGAGCATCTAGCAATGTGAGATTGGGGAGAGTAAGATTTCAAATCTGTCTCTCTTAATTCGAGTACCCGATGGCTGTTAGCTGAGAAACATAAAAGCAAACTCACTGAGATACTCAGGAGTTGGACTCTAGCTGAGGTCCGTCTCCAGAAGCCCGAAGCTTCTCCCAGGGTAGCTGCCACATGGCCTTTGCAGACTATTCCATTGCTGTTTCTAGAATTCATGGCCTAGCTTTAGAGCAGGATGTCTTACTTAGACTTAGCCATAAGCTTCCTGTTTAACGGTCCCTTGGCACAGGTAAGAGTTTCCTTACCCTATGGTTCCCTAACCAAGGAAGCCTAAACATGCTCCTCAATCCTGATGCCCACTTCTCAAAATCCACACCTCAGGGGAATTTCCCACAGTAATTCCCTGGGGTAGAGATAAAATCTTGGTTTTTAATCCAGTTCAGATGCGGCAGGCACGCCCTTCCAATCTAAAGGCCCAAATCTCTGTCCCCTCTGTGTTCTGCTCACAGATGCCATCTACGACTGTTCCTCCCTGTACCACAAGAACTACCGAATCTCTGGCGTGTACAAGCTTCCTCCTGATGAGTTCCTGGGCAGCCCTGAGCTCGAGGTGAGGCCACTCCTTCCATGCCCCACCCTTTGTCCTCCAGCCCTAAAAGGCACGGGGACAGCAGGGCTGCGGAGCTGTGAGAATGCTCAGTATCAGTCAGACACCAACTGTCCTAGTTTTTCCTGACTCAGAACTAGTTCCGATCTCTCTCTAGGAGAGGAGGGAAGACATTAGAAGGAGACACACGGAGGTACCTGATTTTCCCATTTATGTTGTGTTCACACTGCCTGCCATGCCCTATGGACACTCATTCCCAAGCTAACCACCACTGTGCCCTGCCCCTCCACATCGGGGGCAGTATTTCTGGGAGTACAAGGACCACTGACATGACAGGTGCAGCACACAGGTTGGGAAGTCTGTCCTTAAGCTCCTGACCAGAGGACCCTCTCTGCTTCAGGTGTTCTGTGACATGGAAACTTCAGGAGGAGGCTGGACCATCATCCAGAGACGCAAGAGTGGCCTTGTCTCCTTCTACCAGGACTGGAGACAGTATAAGCAAGGGTTTGGCAGCACGCGAGGTGACTTCTGGCTAGGGAATGAACACATCCACCGGCTTACCAGGCAGCCAACCCGGCTGCGCGTGGAGCTGGAGGTAAGCTTGAGCTGCAAGGCCCCCCACTGGCCCAGGCCCACTGCACACATGGTTCAGAGGTGTCACCACAGTCTACTCACTATAGGTGTGTAGTCAGTGCAGCAATGTTCCTGAAACATTTTTTTTCCTATTTCTATGTGAAGTTAAAACTATAGATGGCCGAGGTCCAGGAAGACCCAGGCCAGAACAGGGTACACCCATAGTTAATGGGATACAAATACCATCTCCTTTGCTCTGGGATCTTTTTAAGTACAAGCCTCAGTGATGCTACATGGTGGCCCCTTTAGATGGCTTCAAAGACAATGTACCCACTTACTCATACAGCATCTCAGAATGAGACTTAACAAAAATCACACGTCTGCCCCTTCAGACAGAACATCCAGGTCATATGGGGAGTCCAGACTCAAATTTGGTCTCAGGCCTTTGTTTGTTCATGTCTAGCTAACACAGTGACCTGTAATAGTTTTACCAGAGTTCCACCTCTGAAGAGCTAGCTGTTTAGCTGTGGGGCTAGTTAGAGAGGAAGGGATCAGGGGCTGCAGAAATGAAGTCCTTTAGGGTCTCCCTCTTTCTTGCAGGACTGGGAGGGCAATGCACGCTACGCCGAGTATAGCTACTTTGCATTGGGCAATGAACTGAACAGCTACCGCCTCTTCCTGGGGAACTACAGTGGCAATGTGGGGAAGGATGCCCTCCTCTACCACAACAACACTGTCTTCAGCACCAAGGACAAGGACAATGACAACTGCTTGGACAAGTGTGCAGAGCTCCGAAAAGGTGAGACCTGGGAGGCAGAGGAGGGCTGGGCCCACCAAGGACACAGTGAGCTGCAGCTGTGCTGCTGGTGCTCTGGCTGTGCTGTTCCCTCTGCTTTCACGCACGGATCAGCAGAGTCTGGGGAGGGCATCCCCAGCCTCCTCCTCCTCCTCTCATCGGCCTCTCACGCCAGGTGGCTACTGGTACAACTGCTGCACAGACTCCAACCTCAACGGGGTGTACTATCGCCTGGGGGAGCACCGGAAGCACATGGATGGCATCAGCTGGTATGGCTGGCATGGAGCCAACTATTCCCTCAAACGTGTGGAAATGAAGATCCGTCCGGAAGCCTTCAAGCCCTAAGGGAAGGCTGCTGCAGACTATGGAAGTGAGATGGACGCTGAAGAGGGACAGCAGGCTGGGAGGAGGGCGGACGAACGGTAGGAAGGGAACGGTTTACCATCCAGGAGCATGATACAACTTTAGCTGTGTGAGCACATGCATACACAAGAGAAGCACACATACCAACAGTGCGCACGAGCAGATGGGCCAGGCGGACCCATGGGGCCTGCCACGGCGCCTCAGGGGAGGGCCGAGGGTCCACAGCAGCTCATCTTCCACACGCTTTACCTGGGCACAACGGTAACCCCGAGGTCACTTAACCCACTTTCCCTAACTGAGGCTTAGATGACCCGAGGGAAAAAACAAATAAAAAAACTAGTGTGAGACTAGAGACTGTGAGAAATGAAAGCAGAGAAGGGGCTTCCTATTCTTACCCTGTGACACTTCCTTGTGTCTATAGGATTTTTTTTTTTTTTCCTGAGACAGGGTCTCTCTAAACAGCTCTTGCTGTCCTAGAACTCATTATGTAGACCAGGGTGGCCTTGAACTCACAGAGATCTACCTGCTTCTCTGCTTCCCAAGTGCAGGGATTAAAAGCATGCACCACCACAGCTGGCATATAGGATTTTTAAGACACAAAACTGTGGAGCTAAAGACCAGCTGTCCAGGTTGGACTTGCTTCAAGGTGTCTCCAGGGTTAGGCCTTGCTGTCAGAGTCCTAGGGGAGAGAGCTGCACTGCCAAACATGCTGTGGGCCTGACGGGAGTGAGAAGACCAGTGGGAGGTGAGCGCAGTCTCTGGGGGATCACAATACTGCCTTCAAACATTCCCAGTCAAAAACCAAAAGATCCCCTCTAACAAACATGTCTGGAAGAGGAAGGTAGATGGCGCTGTGGTTTAAAATGTGCTGTATATAGAAGCATCTTCCTTGTAAAAATAAAATATTGTAGTTCCTGTTTTGAACATTTAAAATATCTTTTTCTTGTACAATAAATACTATCAAAATTTGATGATTTTCTTTTAAATTCTTATTATTACCACTGAGAGCATGGTAAAACCTGCAGGAGAGAAGTCAGAATGAGTGGAGACCCTGGAGTTTGTTCAAGGAAACCGAAGAAGCAGGACCCCCCACCCTCCATCCCAACACCACCCTAAAAACGAGATGGGGGAAGGAGGGGAGGAGGAGAAGGGCAGCAGGGGAAGGCAGAGGGGGGAAGTGGAAAGGGCAGAAGGCACTGCAGAGCAGGGGCAGAGCTGGCGCTGACAGCCCCACACCACGTGCTCTCAGACACTTTACAGAAAGATGTTCCTGCTTTCCCCCTTCACCACACGGATGCCCAGTGCTTCTGCCCTTTACACAAAGAACCATCCTCTAGAGGAAGTCAGTACAAGATAAGCCATGATTCCTACTTAATAACTTCGGTGACGGCTAGGAATCTACCTCCCCTCATGAGCAAGAACCTTGGGGATTTTTCAAATAAAGTGAAGGAAAAAAAAGCTGCATGAAGCAGGGATTCCCAGGGGAGAGCTATTCCAACAGAAACTTCCTCATGCAGGCAGGAGACTGCAATGCCCAGAACCACAGGCTTGGAGGACCTGGTGGGACAGGCGTCCCAGGCGTGTGCAGAGGGTAGTTGGAGGATGGACAAGGCATCCCAGCGCCTCCCTTTCCCAGCACACACTTTGGTACTGGCTGATTGGTGGACACCAAGGATGGCGCCCCCACAGCTTCTCACCAGAGACAAGACAGAACCACCCAGAACCAAAAGCAGAGTCGGGTGTTGCTGAGACAAAGGGCATTTTGTTCTCATGGGACCCTTCTAGAAATGAGCAGAACAGTATCATACAGAGGACGGTCACAATCCGCCTGACAAGCAGACCCACCCGGGAGTACCGGTCCTTATTTTTAACTATGTAGACGCCTCAATCAGAGAAACCCAAAAGGAGATGACGTGTTAGAGTAGGGCAGAGGGCTTTGATGGGACCCTCTATTCTACTGAGAAAGAGAAGGCTGGCTGTTGGGCTCCGTGCTACACCTCTTTTATCCTTGTGCTTGGGAGGGAGAGGCTAGTAGCTCTCTGCTGAGGCCAGCCTGGTCTACACAAAGAAGTCCTGTCTCAAAACAACCGCCGCCACCACCACAGCTACAGAAGGCAGGCTAACAGACTCCTGCCCTCGCGCACTGGGGAACTAACGAGAGTCCCACAGCTATGATGACATGCTTCCTAAATCCCACATTCTTCTAATCCACGGTTTCCCTGACAAGTGATTACACTTTCTCATCTATGTGAGCTTCAAGTAGGTTATATCATCTCAATGGTGACCCAGCTTGGAGATTACATGTAGGATTTAATTTGCCCTCAGACAGGTAAGAAGGCCAACACATAGGAAACAGACTGAAACAAAGCAGAAAATCCTCCCATATCGGCCTCTTGAGTCCTGAGATTACAGGTATGCATCACCACATCTGGCTAAAAAGGCAATTTGCTTTTTAAAAACAAAACTAAGAAACCGGAAAGAGCTGGTTAAAGTAAGTGTATGGATCACTGTAAGCTCTGAGAATAAGTAAATTAACAAGGGGAATATGAGTAGGAAAAAACAACAACAGCCGATGTGTGGGGGAATGGTGTTAACGGTCACAACAGGCTGGATATCTTTAGTTTGCTGGGAGAGGAGCATTCAGTCAGTGACCTGAGAGGCACACCCTCAAGAACACACAGCTGGAATACAACCTCAAGTGCCAGGACCCCCAGAGAAGCCAGAAGCCTCTCTCACCTGTGACTCTGAAGAGAAAAACTCTGGGGCAGCTTCCCAACAGCAGCTTAGCCTAAAGCTTTTCCTTACAACTATCTCAGCAAGCTGGGCATGGAAGCATGTCTATAATTATAGAACTGAGGTAGGAACATTCTAAGTTCACTTTGTGCTACATAGGAAGACAGTTCTAAAAAAAAAAAAAAATCAAATAACCAAAAAAGATCCAACAACTTTCAGAAGCAATAAAGCAACTTTCCCTAGTAAAGATGGTGCTGCAGTGCAACTCAGCTGTGTTGGAAAGGACTTCCATTGGCAGGGAAGGCTGCAGGTGAAGGCAAAGAGAAGAACAGGGAGGCTCAGGAGGGCATCCAAGGAGCAGAAGGAAGGGCACTTGAGCTCCACCAGCTGAACAGGCTTGAGTAGCTTAAAGTGCATGCTTCCCTAAGAACTGAATTTACAGTTAAAAAACAAAACCAAGTGTATCACATCAAACCCACAATCTGTTTGAAGGGAATTATGATCATTTTCAACCATCCTATTCTTACTATATTTTTCTGCTAAAAACTGCATTAGCTTCAATGATTGTTCCTATGATTGTCTCATATACAAAAAAAGCCAAGGGTGGGGTGGAGAGCTTCAAATAGATCTCAGAAAAGTCAGCAAGGACCCCACAGGTAAAGCTGTTGTCTGAATTTGAACTAACATGCCCAGTTGGCTACCCTAGTTTCTGTCAGCTCTCACATGAAGCTGTGCAAGGGAGAGAGGCACAGGGAGAACCCGAGTCTTTGTGTGTCCTGTCCTGACGCGGCCTCAAGGGAGGCACCTCTGTAACTGTCCCCACAAGGCACTTCAGAAAGCATCATTCTCCGTGTCCCTGGATCTAGGCAGAAGCAGGGTTCCATCTCCACCTTGTGGACCATGCTAAAGCGAGAACGAGCACCAGGCTCGGCTGCGGATGCGCTCTGCTCGGTAGGGGCTGTCTGCCTGCCCAGCAGCTTATTAGCTGTTGATTTTCCTGCGCTATCTGCAGTTAAAAATGATGAAGCACGTTAGTGTCCCCATGAAGACGATTCGGGTCCAGGGTTAACGTCCTCTAGACTCACTAGGGGAAGTGAGCAGTTCTCTAGGAGCTGAGGCTAATGTTTCCGGTTGCTTGTAATTTCTAACGGCATAAAATTTATTAAACAACTTTCTTTTCCATACCCAGAAGACTCAAAACCGTCTTAGGAGAGGAGAGAACAATCAGGGAAATCAAGGAAAAGGTCACTGCATCTCAGACTTTACGCTTTATATTCAGAACCGCAGAGGAGGAAGAGTGGGCACTAAAAGACATGGTCTGTAGACCTGACCCTGCCTCTGGGCGCTCCCGAAGCCAAGGAACCAGGATGTCCTAATCCTACTCAGAAGCAACACTTAACTTAGATACTACCCATGTGCCTTCCCCAGGCTGCTGTGCTCAGAGCTGCTTCCCACTGATTTCACTGGGACAAGAAAGCACAGGCTGGGAAACAACGGAGTAGCAGTCACTAACAGATGTGACATCTGTGGCATGAGTGCCGACAGCCATCTGTAACCATGTATTTAAATGTGCCAGCCAGACCCGGTGGCAGGGTTCACACAGCTGGGTTCTCCACATGACTCCAGAGAACGGGGACAAGCGGTGGGAGAAGATAACGAAATGTCCATGGCCTACCTGATGAGGGACTCGAGGATGGCCGGCGTGGGCCCCTTCTGGAACTCCAGCTCCTTGTAGTGCAGCGCCTTGGCGTACGCGCGGCACTTGGCAGCCCTCTCTCCCAGCAGCACGATGCCATTGTCGTCTCTCAGCGGCAGGGGGCCCTGCAGAGTAAGGCACAGAAATGCAGTAGACGGGGCACACACGTGGGGCTGCTGGCTGCTTCCCCTTCTGCCAGCCTCTCCTATCATTGTCCATCGGGACAGGAGGGGAAAGTCTCACCTTGTCACTGTGCTCCATGAACTCAGCCAAGTTCAAGAGCGTTTGCGTGACTTCAGCAATGTCTTGAGAAGTGAGCGCCAACTCAATGCTCCTGATGAGCTCATCTTGCTGGTCTTCATTCAGCTCAGACCAGCAGGACACAAACGCAGCATTGAAGAGATCCCTGCGAGCACAGGGAAGGGGGAAGGATGCACCTCTGCCTGGTGCCACAAGCACCGTCAACCTGGTTCTGGCGCTGTGGGTGCTTACAAGAGCAATGCTGCCTGACTCAACTTGTTGGATGTTATCTCCACCTTCCTCAAGAGGCAGAGTAACTGCTGGTCACTAAATACCTGTTCTGTGGTGACCAAGGGGGGGAACTTTAAATTAAAAGAACCACATGTACCTACTGACTACTAATCTTTATGTTTGTTCGAGCAAGGTCTCACACTGTAGCCCAGACTGGTTTCAAACTCATAGCAATTCTCCTGCTTCAACCTTCCAACTGCTGTGATTTTTAGGCCTGCATCATCACCAAGCCTAGTAATGACAACTCTCTGTTTTAGGGCAGGTACAGACATGATATACAGGGAGCTGTGGGAGAGTGGGGAGGGGAGAACACGCAAACTAACTTGTCTTCACAGTGATGCCTCCTGGCAGTTTCTGCCGTGTTTCTCTTCACTGAGACCAACAGAAAGAGAACTTCTAAGTGAACAGATTGCGGATGTAACAGTCCTTATGTGATCCTTGGAACATTTCCTGGACAATGTCCAAATTCTTAAGATCAAAAATGGCCAAGGCAGCATCTGCTACTGATTTCCAAACATATTCAGAACGTTTCACTCCATGATTATGTAAGAGAAAAGACAACATGCTTGAAGCACCAGGAGAGAATCCACACAAAGGTATGCAAGGCTTCTGGCCGGTCTCCAACAGAAAGAGAGCTATTGCCATGACCACAGCACCAACTTGAAATCACTATGTCACATGGATGCAGCCTAGCCCTCCCACCCCCAGCCCCACCTTCCCCTCCACTTTTCTAGGCACTGTGGCCTGTGGTGGAGAGCAGAGGAGAGTGTGACATATCCCTGCATGATGACTTCAGAACTTGATGCTTCCTCAATTGCTATTGCACATTTCAAGGCTAAGTTAGAGCAACAAGTATAATTTTGGAACTCAGTAGGGAAAAAAAAACATCCAAAATTTGAAATTCTAATCAGATTGACAAGTCTAGTATAAATGAAAAATAAGCTTTCCTTATCTAT